TGTATATCAAAAAAAAGGTTAAATAGAGTATTTTGTATTATGTGTGTGTGTGTGTGTGTGTGTGTGTGTGTGTGTGTGTGTGTGTGTGTGTGTGAATGATTTATGGAACTGCTCTTTGTTTACCACTATTCATCATTGCCACTACTAATATTAAATAAGAATAATAATAATTTCACTTTCAGTTATGATAAAAAAAACATTCTGCTTATGTTGTTTTTTCTTTATTTCCGCGTTCTAAAAACACTTTTTTTGCTGTATTCAATTTTAGTTATATCACTTGCTTTCTTAAAAAATGTTTTAATGAGTTGTTTTATTAAGCTCTCTCTTGAATTCTCTCTTTCTTTCTTTCTTTCTTTCTTTCTTTCTTTCTCCCTCTCTTTCTTTCTTCTCTAGACATGAGTTATACATGAGCAATGTCTACTTTGTGTCACTGTTTTTCAGTACATGTCCCAGTGTTTGGGTTGGCTTATTTCATCTCCCTTTTTAATTATCACAGTAGTTTGTCTTTTTTGTTTGTGTGTGAGTGTCCCGTTGAACCAAACGTGAACAAGCAAGTTTCCTGCTTATTCTTCTGTTGTCTTTAAGAATTGGTTAGTATTTACTTTGCAGTTGTTATTCTTCCACAAGTCCAGTAGACTATCCACTCATTATCCCACAGTCCACTTAGCTTTTTGTCATCTTGATGAATTTATCCCTTATTTCCTTTTCCAATCTCTGTCCCTTTAATTTAAATTTTGGTTAATTTGCTCCTTAAATGTCATCCAAATGGAAGATGATGAAGACAATGAAAAAACTGAAACCTCATTCCTGAAAACACAATTGATCCGAGACTCTCCTGCTCTTGCAAGTCCAGATTTACTCTCTGAAGTGTCAGAGATGAAACAAGACCTTATCAAAATGACTGCTATTCTGACCACTGATTCCTCAGTGAAAACGGGTCCCATGCAAGGGGATTATTTAGATAAGGGGGTGGAGGAGGTGTCAGCAGAGCCTTTTGAGATAATGGAAAAAGTCAAAGAGGATTTGGAGAAAGTTAGCAAAATTCTGAGAAGTGGAACATGTGACAAGGAAGAGTCTGCAAAAACAGACAGCCGTCCATATAGGAAGGATGAGGGGTGGGTTCTCCTAACGGAAAGTGAAATCGAAGAGGCAAAAATGATGGCTGCCTTTGAATCTCAAGAATCACGTCTAAAGGAAGTTCGAGTCAACAGAGGATCACAGAGACCAAAGGGTGCTAGGGACAGGCCTGGCATAGAGACTGTTCCCAGTGCTGAAGTTAAGGAATACTTATTGGATGCACCTGAAACATCTAGGCCTACATCCCAAGAGTCTCCATCACAGCAAAGGTTCACTGAGGTTGTTCTGCGCAGAGGTGGTCAAAAAATAGTCCCTACAGTGGCAAAAGACACTAAGGCCCATACAACAGAAGTAAAAAAGCCAGTCAGAAGAAAAGGACCTCAAGGCCACACCGATGAAACCCAGTCATTTAGCACAAAAGAAAGCATTGCTAGTAAAAGTGCCAGGAAGTCTTCCAAAGGGGATGCCTTTCTACCAGTCCCTGGAGACCAAAAAAAGTATCCTGTTTCACCAGTTGGTGAGACACCAATCGGTTCCATTAAAGAGAAAGTTAAGGCTCTTCAAAAGAAAGTAGAGGAAGAACAAAAAGGTCAGAAAAAACGAACAGGCCAAAAACCTCTATATACAGCTACAGAAGCTAAAGCATCTTCTGTTGTCAAAGATCAGAAAACATCAGGCCTGACTTCTTCACCCCAGAAGCAGTCTCCTTCTAGGTCACGAAGCTCTGAGCCTGGGAGACTAGAAGAAACCATGTCTGTGAGAGAACTAATGAGAGCATTTCAAACTGGCCAAGACCCCTCAAAAAGAAAATCTGGGCTCTTTGAGCACAAAGGGCCTTCCAAAACAGAATGCACAATAGTGAGTAAACCAGAGGCTATCTTTACAAAGTCACAAAGTCTACCCCAAGCACGCTCACATGAAGAAGTGTCTCTTGATGTTTTAAAGCCTGAAGATCACCATGAAGAAAAAGAAGTCAAAATTAGTCCACACATAAAATACTCTGAAGACATTGAAGAAGATACGAGTCAAAAGAGTCGTCAGCATCCACAGGAAAAGAGTGGTGAGGCTTTGGTTTCTGGAATCGTGTCAGCAGGTCATTTTACTCACTCAAGCATGACAACAGCAATTCCTCAAAATTTGTCAGAACAGCGCAGAGATATATTGCCTGATAATGGTACAGAGAACAGTGCGTTTTATGCCATCTCTGACAGCATTAGACATGAAGCATTGGTCGACTCACCCAATGCCAGCCTCGCTGAAGTGGAAGCTCCTTTGAGTTCTGAGGAAAGTTACAAACATGAGGGCATGGCTGAGACTCCAGAAACAAGCCCTGAGAGCCTCTCATTATCACAGAAAAAAACAGCTCAGTCTATACTTACAAAGACCACAAAATCAGTAGCAGTCACCCCTAAAGCCAAGACAAGTAAAGTATATGTTTCCTTTTCTACTGAGATGAAGACAACTAATGAACAGGCATCTGAAGCTACAGTTCATCATCCATCGTTGAGCCATGCAGTGGATGAACCAACAAAAAGTGAGTCTATATCTATTCCTCATGCAAATAGGGGGGTGAACTTTGAGGGGGAAAAAACTTCTGTTGATAAGGATATTGTTTCTGTGTCATCCAAGACATCTAAATCTCGAAAACTGACAAAAAGAACATCTGAAACACTAGAGTGTTTTTTGAGTGATGAGGAATCCTTTGATGGTCAACCAATACCAACCTCTGCGGACTCCCTGGCCTCAAGGGCAGCTACACAGGATCATGGTGGTTTAGTGCTACCTCTTAGTCACCAAGATTCAGAGAACCTTAGTCCAGTAGCTGATGACTCTTTTACTATTAGCCACAAGGACTCTTTAGAGGGTAGTCCCTTGATGGAAGACAACTCTTCCCATAAAACCCCAGACTCTATTGAGCCTAGTCCAACAAAAGAATCCCCGTGTCTTGACTCTTTAGAAAGCAGCCCCATAGAGATGAAAACCAACCTGGCTTTTCCACCTACAGTAGAACAACCCAGTGTGACCACAGGGCCCCTGACATCCTCCAAAGCCCCTGAAATCCCACCAGACAGTTTGCATAGTAGAATGCTCAAAGAACAGGAGGGTAATGCCGATGATGACAGTTGTGAGCAGACGTCCCTGATGACAAGTTCGGGTAAGAGTCCTCTCTCACCTGACACACCAAGTTCTGAAGAGGTAAGTTATGAGGTCAATCCTAAAACCCCAGACCCCATGGTCCTGATTGTTCCCTTTAAACCATCAGTAATCCCAGAGGAGACAGTAGAAGATGACGAGTTGAAGTGTGGCCTGACACAGAGGAAAATTACTCAAGAGGAAGAGATGTTTAAAATGGCTGCCAAAATAAAAACATTTGATGAAATGGAACAAGATGCAAAAGACAAAAATGACAATAGAAAAGATAGTGAATCCTCTCAGACCTTGGTAGCATCTGATGCAGGAGATGACAGCTTCAAATTGTTTGGGCTTGCATCCAAACATGAAACATCCTCTTTGGGTGATGTTGGGTTTAGGGAACTCAAACAAGCCTCAGAGATAGCACGGTCTGTTGAACCGATCATTAAAGTACAACCTCCCTCTCCTTTTCCAGCAGGTATTCATAAGATCCCCCAAACACCTGATGACATTCAACAAACCATGGCCCACAGTGCAGCATCTTCAGCTGAATCAGCAATGAGGAGACCACAGTCTGTCTCAGAAAAGCATACCATAAAACCACACCTTCAAGAGTGAGTTGAAGTGTGGCCTGACACAGAGGAAAATTACTCAAGAGGAAGAGATGTTTAAAATGGCTGCCAAAATAAAAACATTTGATGAAATGGAACAAGATGCAAAAGACAAAAATGAAAATAGAAAAGATAGTGAATCCTCTCAGACCTTGGTAGCATCTGATGCAGGAGATGACAGCTTCAAATTGTTTGGGCTTGCATCCAAACATGAAACATCCTCTTTGGGTGATGTTGGGTTTAGGGAACTCAAACAAGCCTCAGAGATAGCACGGTCTGTTGAACCGATCATTAAAGTACAACCTCCCTCTCCTTTTCCAGCAGGTATTCATAAGAGCCCCCAAACACCTGATGACATTCAACAAACCATGGCCCACAGTGCAGCATCTTCAGCTGAATCAGCAATGAGGAGACCACAGTCTGTCTCAGAAAAGCATACCATAAAACCACACCTTCAAGAGTCTCTTAGTCAGAAATTTAAGGACAAAAATTATGTTGATTCAGAGTTAGTACAGCTGAACAAAACTGCCTCTAACAGCAAAAATCTGGTTGCAAATATAACTGATGAACAAAAAGAGCAAAGCTTAAAAAGATCAAAAGGAATTCAAGAAATGTACAGTCATGAACAACAGAAGGAGGCAGCTAATTCCCAAAATGTTGACTGCAAATCACATAGTCAAGAAGAGTCTAATGTAACGGATGAGATTAAAGGGGATTACATGAGGCATGCAGGGACATCTTATGTTGATATTTGTAGTGGCAGCTTAGATATTGATTCTATTCCAATTATTATTGGGCAAACAAAAGAAACGTTTAAACCAGAAATATGTATTTATGATGACACAGAGGAAGATAATGCTGAGGAGGAACCTCCTAAGACTGAATCTAGAGGAGTTACAGCAAAAGCAGAGACAGACGCCTGGAATTCAACGCGAGAAGATGATGATGCATTTGCAGCAAGAGTCAAAGAGGAAGAGCAAAAGATCTTGGGTCTGGCTGTAGATCGGCATTCCCAAGGGGCTACTTCAGACATAACACCATCAAGGACACCCACTGAGGAGGGTACACCAACAAGCGAACAAAATCCTTTCCTTTTTCAAGAAGGAAAACTTTTTGAGATGACAAGAAGTGGTGCGATAGACATGACAAAAAGGAGTTACGAGGAGGAAGGTTTTGCATTTTACCGAATAGAGCAACCCATTGTAGAGGTCATAGCTGAAGAAGGAGGTAATGAAGCTGTTAGAACATCCAATGATGCTGAGAATGAGATTGGTTGTAACCTCTCTTTGCAAGTAAATGCAGAGGAGGATGAAGACCTCCTTAAAGAGGCTGCAGATGTATCTGTACATTCTCCTGCTGGGGATAACCTGACCGCAGCTGCAAAGTCAGATTTTTCCAAATCTAGACCCCCCATCAAATTAGATATTTCTGCCTCAACCAAAACCTCAGAGAAGAACCAAACAATGTTAGAAATTAAATCAGACAAAGTTATGAGTGAGGTACATTTTGAATCTGATCCTGGTTCCTCTGACACTGTCATAGCCAATGTCCAGACAGCAGTGTCAACAGTTACTAGATCAGTTCGTTCCCAACAAGACCAAGAGTCCTCAGATTCCTCCCCAGATGATCAGCACTCAGTAATAGAACAAACCAAATCACCTGAAAAGACAGAATCCCACAGTAAACTTGCATCTAAGCATTACACTGCAGCATCTCTATCATCTACGACTAGAAAAGATATGTCCACCTCCAAAGAGGGAGAGAAACCAAAATCCCGAATCCCTGTTAAGGCCAGCTCCCTAAGGTCTGAATGTGAAGAACTTGCCACGGATAAGAAGTCAAATTTGCCCATAAAACCTCAATCAAGGAGAAAATCTGAGACAGACACAGGCCCATCCATAGCCTCCAGTTTAACAAAGTCTTCTAAAGTCAAGAGCTTCTGTGAAAGTGATTGCACCAAAAAAACAGCCAAAAAGGGCCAGAATCGTCCAACAAACACTGATCTATCCAGCACAACTAAGACACTTCCTTCGAAATTACCAATCAGGGGAAAGCCTGACCAGCCAGTTCAAACTTCCACACCAGCAAAACAAAAAAAGGTTCAGCGAACTGACACAAACAAACAGTCCATTCCATTTTTTGAAGAGATTAGTCATGAGGCAGCTAAGGTAGTGGAGAGTTTGGCTCAGGCAGAGAAAGACAAACAGGAGGCTGTTGCCTTATCTGACGATGAAAGCAACACCATCAATGCCTCAGTAATAGAGAGTGAACCTTTCACTTACATCCAAATGACTTTCCCTGAGGATTCCTTGGTTATTAGGCCCAGATGGGACAACCCCGTTGAGACGCAGATGGAACAAATCCCTGCTGATAGAGTCCGAAGTCAAGGTATCCCCCATCTCTTGGGGGCCATTATCTCTTTCTCATCTACCTTAGCACCTCAGTGATGAAAGTGCTGCTTCTCTGTCTTCTATCTAATGCTTCAACTCTTCATAGTGGTACTTTGATGTTTGTGACTTTGTGTCTCTTTTTCATTTATCTGACTTAAATCTCAACATTAATATAAAACCAAATGCAGTGGGGGGTATTTATCTAGTGTTTTTGCCAATATATTCATTGACTACATATAACATTATGACAGAATTGGTTAAATTTAAAACATAAGTTGTAAGGTGCTGTTGATACATTTTTTTCTAATGTTCGCATATCCTAGGATAATTATTCATAGTATTTATTCATGATTGATAGTTTACCTAGTATTTGCTCATTGCTTGAAAATGAGTCTAAAATGATAATGGTTTCTGTTGTGTATTTGCTCAGAAATGTTGGCTTAAAAAGTATAGTAAAAAATATGAATTGATGTATTTTCTGCATGAGAAAGCCAGTGACCTTATTTATCTTAACATTAAATGATAAATTGTAAAAAATAAAATAAAAAAAAGTTCTAGTATTAGATTTGTGTTCTTATGTGGCTCTTGCTGCTTTGCTGGAATTTGCAGTAGATCCACAAGATGAGGCTGACAGGAAAGAGGGTCGCCTGGCTGTAATAGCAGACCACCTTGGTTTCAGCTGGTCAGGTAAGTGGCTTTTTTGAATATCAATTAACCAGCTTACAGAAGTTTGTCATTACATTAATTCATTTACAGTGACTTAGATGTTGACAAAGCAATACAGTAAGTATACAAAATTATACAGAAAGTATTCATATAAACTTTAAACGGTGCCTTGGTTTCAAAATGTTTGGGAACCACTGCTCTATACTCACATTTTTTCATTTGTTTGCAATAATTGTCATCACTACTTTTTGTCTTTGTAAACTTTATTTCAGCATATACTGCCTTACAGTCATTAGGACACTTTGTTTCATAAGTATACTTTGTTGATCTGAATTAAATGCATGATTTATTACCAATGTGTTTTTGTTCAATCAGAATTCGCTCGAGAGCTTGAATTCAGTGAGGTACAGATCAATCAGATAAAAAATGAGAATCCAAATTCTGTACAAGACCAAAGCCATGCCCTCATAAGGCTATGGAAAGGAAGGGAGGGCAAAAATACTACAGGTAAGACTACTGATCATGGGTTTTCCATTAGTTTGTATCTAAATTTGCATTGCAGATAGCAAACAGTATTAAATCTGAGATTTAATAAAAAAAAATATTTTAAAGTTTTCTGCTCGGCCACCACAAATGTGCAGCACCCTTCTGAAACCACTTTTCTGTAATTAATTCAGCAGCAACTGCTTTACAAATAGAATTCAATAAATGTTCTACAATTATATTTAAAAAAATGCATCATTGAAAATTTTTGGTTAAAAAACATTTGAGCAAGTACATAAAAACAGTGTCTAAAACAGCACTGTTGCATAGAATTTGAACTAATCAGCTATTTGGTGATGAATATGGACTGTTCTAAACAGCAACCCTTACTGATCTCTGTGAAATTATCAAAACATCAAACTCAGTGAGTCTGCAATCAAAAAGGGAAAGCGACAGAGCCTGTGACAAAACAAGATCTGAACCAGAGTGGCAGATATGATATTTACCTGCTCAGATTATTTTTTCTGATATAGACTTTGTCGGAATATCTTATTTATTGTCTTGGTGCAGCATGACAAATCTGCACTTATATGGTGATCACCAGTAACCATGGGGTAAGCATCATATTCATCCACGCTGTACAGAAGTGCCAAAAAACAACTGATGTAAAAGAAATACTCTGCAAGTAACATGCAACTTTGTTTCAATTTCATAGAAATAGAGAGGCCAGTGTTCTGTAGTGCAGCTTTGATTATTTATTTCTTCTTCATTTTGGCACTTAAAGATATAGGTCACCCCAAAATGAAAATTCTATCATTAATTGCTCACCCTCATGTCGTTCCAAATTACGGTTGAACCACTGTTGTCACATTGACTATTTTATAGATGTACTTACTACATTTCTGGGCCTGGGAACGTTTCAGTTGCATTACTGTCTATGCAGGGTCAAAAAGCTCTCGGATTTCATAAAAAAAATACCTCAATTTGTGTTCCGAAGATGAATGAAGGTCTTACGGGTTTGGAATGACATGTGGGTGAGTAATTATTTATATAATTTTCATTTTGGGTGAAATATTACAAGCAGACATGTAACATAAAATAGCCATATTTTACCACCAGAACATCATGCTCTTTTGACTTGGGGTAGTGTTGTGATGCCCAGTGTTATGTACATAGTAAAAGGAAACAAATTATGATATTATGGCATTGTGACTGTGGGTTCTGCCAAAGAAGGAGGATCACTCACATTGTCTGGTTGTCTGGTGCATTCTAGTAGACACAAATATACATAACATAATCTCTCCACGTATCAGCAGAGAACACTTTGATGAGGACACTTTCAAAAATAAATCGTGTGGACATTGTTAATCTCATCGAAACAAAAATCATCCAGTCCAGTCAAGACCAGTCATCACACACCTATGCAGAAATTGAGCAAACCATATCATTGGATCATAGTGAAGGTATGGATGATAATAACTTGAAACTTATTTGGTTGGTGTTTTTTAATATAGAAAGTCACATTATTATTCATCACTTTTCCAGAAGAATCGCTGAATTTTACAATGATGTTACAACATCTCAACAGAAACTATGTTGGCTTTGCAGGTTTTTCAGCCCTACAGGAGGACATGGACAGTCCCAGGCCAGATCGGCGAGCAGAAGTCACACAAAAAGGATCAGAACTTGGACCTCTGGTGGCATCTGTCGAGGATCTCTTCTGCAATGTATCTTCCTTTGATGATTCCAAGAAAGAGAGGTTGCTGACAGACAAAGAGATGGGTTCAGAGTAAGTTAATTCTATTCCTGACCTATACCATAACTTTTATTTTAATAATACACTGTAATAAGTTATTTAAATTTGATTATCTATTTGTCAGGGTGGTCGGAGCCTCAGCACACAGTTCCTTTGATATGGTTGGACTGAGGCAACAATTCCCAGGCAATATCAAAAAAGTAAGTCCCTTCTTTAACCTGTACAAAGCTGTTCCCTGGAGACCGCAGTCTCACGTTTATGGCCCAGTTTACAAAGGTGGTACTATTTCCAAAGAATCATCAAACAATACCAGACCTGCCAACCTGTACGCATTTTGACCTTAAAGTACCCTGGTACGATTAGTCACTCTAAACTACGCAAAAACCCGGTGACCTGTCCATGCACAGTAAACAAGCAACAGAAAAAGATGAGGAGTTCAACCAATCAGTGCGTTTTCCGTGTTTTTTTATTTCTCTCCAAACTGGCTCTATTTGTGGGTCCGTGAGTCGTGCGCTGAGATGAGGAAACACGTGTATGGTATTTCCTGGAGTCGTGAGCTCTATTTCTTCGGTGATGCATATGTGGACTTTCTGCGCAGGGGCGCCCTCTGGTATCCACTATGAATGAAACAGACATTACATGTGTTCATAGCACTAAATAATGGCCAATCTATAAAAATAATACTTCTCTCAAAATAAATTTAAGGTAGACATGTGATAATGCATGTTTTTCTACAGTGTACATCAATGTACTGGAGTTTTACGTAAAGTATACTGGAGTTTGCTTTTTTTAAATAGCATTTAAAATCTCTAAAAAGAACTCTGTTGTGCCAAACCATCAGAACCAAACTGAAAACTGTGTTTAAAAAACGGAGGTATTTATTGAACCTTAGGCTAACTGTATTGTTGCATTCCTACTGTTTACTCTAAAATATTGTATAACAGGAATATCACAAACTGAGTGCAGACTGAGTACTAACCTATGAAAAATATTTAACATGAAGTCTAGCATTTTGCACATTGTGCAATTACGATTTTGACATTAGCCATCAAGGAGCTTCAAGTAATGTAGGAATAGACTATATGACCCCCGGTATCACCCCCATATCAGGATGTAACAGGATGATGAACAGATTGTTCCAGCCATTAATTCAATGGAAGGGTACAAGCTGAGAAAGAGACAAACAACCCTGTCAGATTTTGGGCACACCCTGCTGGAATCTGTGAATGCCGAGGCAGATTACGATGAGTTGTCTGTGGAACTCAAGCAAAATTCAGAAGATTATATTACCTCACCTGTTTCCAGTGCAATACATTTCTTTACATCCCCATCAAATGTAAATACAGAAATTGCATCTTCCTTACCGAATAAATATGAGGCTGCACTTCCAAAGAAACCAAGTGAGAGTGAGGATTATATACAGCGCCACATTGAGGAAGTTTCTGACAGATTCTATAGAATCCTTTTCTATAGAATGAGATTTCTTCTGTGGATGAAGGGAATTGTAACATCATTCCTGTCTGTGTACACGAATCTTCAGATGTTTCCAAAGATATTGATGTTAATCAGTTTGTAATCATAGAATTGTCCACTGAAGGAATACAAAGAATAACTCAAATAATGTCCAGTCCTCTTCAACAACCTAGCATGTCTGTTGCACTTGAAAGTGGAACAGGCATCGGGGTTGTGTTCTCTCCCCACTGCTCTTCTCCCTCTACACCAACGACTGCACATCTAAAGACCCCTCTGTCAAGCTCCTGAAGTTTGCAGATGACACCACACTCATCGGCCTCATTCAGGACGGTGACGAGTCTGCTTACAGACAGGAGGTCGAGCAGCTGGCTGTCTGGTGCAGTCTCAACAACCTGGAGCTCAACACGCTCAAAACTGTGGAGATGACCGTGGACTTCAGGAGAAACCCCTCTGCACTCCCCCCACTCACCATCATGGACAGCACTGTGACTGCAGTGGAGTCATTCAGGTTCCTGGGCACCACAATCTCGCAGGACCTGAAGTGGGACACTCACATTGACTCCATTGTGAAAAAGGCCCAGCAGAGGTTGTACTATGAAAAGAGATACATGGAAAGTTCACAGCAACAAAAAGAAGATCTAGGACATGATTTAAGAAAAACTGGCCCCTCAAGATGACAAAAAAATGGTAAGAAGTTGAGCTTGCAGCTGTCAATATTGTGCGTTCATAACAATATATCCCAGGAGTAATGTAGTGTCATGTCTGCCCTGAAATACATATTTTTTCAGTTCTGAATCTACTAACAAATCAAGACTAAATGGACAACTCTTGAGGAGTGTGCAGTTTACAAGAGAATGGTCAATTTTGAGAATGTTTACTAATTCACCATAATGGTTTTGATGTATTTTTAAGACTGCTGTGTTTGTAATGAGACTTATGAGACTGTAACTCCCTGGCCTGTGCTAACAAACTTACTCAAGCCCTAATGGAACATTTCAAAACATTTAAATACGAGCAAACTATTATTTGGTGTTTTGATTCACATCAATAAACATAGTTATATGTGTGCACCCATTGCTTTCACTTAGCTGAAGTAACTTAAAGTGTTAGATATAATGTGACAACTGACAAACAGCAATTTTTTTTCTTGACTGCATGTAAATGGAACTTCCGGAGTACAGGCTTTGCATGGTGTGACGTGCAAGTGTATGAGATATACAATACTACTTAAGACATGCCACCACAATGCATCTCTGCTATTCTTAGGAAATAGCTGAAGAACTAGGTTTGCTGTCTGATAGTTCAGAGGAGGAGGTGTTGACCACCAGGGTGGTGCGGTGCAAAGTTATAATTCAGGTACCTGTTTTGGGTGTGTGCACTGATGTCATTGGACTCCCATTTCCATATTTTGGTATGATATGGAACATTGAAAGTGTTTTCATTTGCTGTTACAATGATGAAAGACTAATATATATATATATAAAAAAAAATTATATATTTTTTTCATTTCCCATAAAAATTATTTCTCTTTCAGGACTGAGGTTAACCCTTTCCATTAGCATTATTATTTTCACTCTCATAGTTTGAAACAAAAAAGAAAATATTAGTATATGAATTGTAAGTGAATATATAGTAAGTAATAAAAAATATATATAAACAAAAACTCTGACTGTATATCAATTTCTGTGAATGTGGGTGGAGTCAGTTACCATTATATTCTTACAGAAACCCTAATGGTCTCATTAATGAAACAAAACACATTTCTTGTCATTAACTTGTTCAATTAAAACAGGTTTTATAAACACATGAATTAATTTTGCTTGTGTTACATGTATGATTTTTATTCTATTTTTTAGGGTGACGAGATGCCCGAAATCCCTCCTCAGGCTGTGACAGAAGAGAAATACACTGATGAGTATGGAAACATGGTGGTCAAAAAGGTAAATGCTTTAACTTTAATCTTTTCTGTGTCTTTTCACAGATTCAGTCAGCACTATGTAATGTCCATATTTGCCCAATATTTGTTACAGTTGATGAAGTAAAAACCCTGCAGCATAATCATTTTATTTGGTTAATTGTAGGTTGCCTTTAAATAATGCATGCTATTTGAAAGTAATGTGAATTATCTTAACATTTACTATGAAAATGTCGATTATATTTTCTCTAAATAGTTTAAACTTACTTTAAATAGTGTTTATGCTGTGATGAATTATGAACATTGGAGTGTTTTAGTTTATATTTTAGGTTCTTTACCTAATGTTTAATGGATTATTGTAGTGTCATGCATTTTTTTTTTCTGTGATTGACATCTTCATTAGCCATTGCTTAGTCTCAGCCTCAGGCCTGTCCGCTACCACCGCTACTTTATTACAAGAGTACCCTACTAATCCAGATACAATAATTGAAAATAATTATAATCATTTAAAAATTAATTTAAAGATAATATAATAATGTTGTGTAGTCTTTAATACTATAGACACAGACAGTTTTACTCACTGAAAGATGTATTCGTCATAATATTCGTCAATTATTACTTAATTATTGTATTCGAGTCTTACACACATGCTATACAGATAATGTAGAAAGAGTCGTGCATTCATTTGAGTGATGACAGCTATTAGGGGAGTGGCTTGATGGAGCGCAGATAACATGATTTTGACCCTTAAGAAACTTTAACTAATGCTGTCATGTAACAAATCTGTTCAAATATAAAATTAAATGAATTGCTAATTACTACATTGAAATAAAAATGTAAAGCCTGTACAAATATTAGAAATCGTGAATATAAATAATTGGGAATCATGTAAAAAATAAAAACAGTGCACATTTAATTTATCAATTATTACATTTATGTAGTTTTATCAAGTTTTTTGTCAGGTGTCTTTTTTAATTATATGATTACGTTGTTGTCTTGCCGCCAGCCAGCATTCCTGATCGTGGTTCCGAGTATCGATACATAGCCCCTTTTAAACCAATCCATGAACGCGCAATTATCTCAGATAACTCGTTTGAAGAACCGAATTAGCCAGATCCTGATTAGCACGATGATATCATCTTGGATGTAACATTTCATCTCGGATTTAATAAGCGACGTACGAAGTACGGGCCCCAGGACTACAATCGAGGCACTTGATTGAGTTTAGAAACAGCACTTATTGATATAGTGAATACTTCCTTTGGAGTGGACTTTGTGCTTTGTAACTTTGCAGATCTTTTTCATGTACAAACAGCAACATTGCGCACTAAAGGAAGTTGAAAATGTAAAAAAAACTAAAACATAATAGGAACCCTTTAAGATGACAGACTGTTTTCACAATTTATTCATAATTTTAAAAAGTTATGATGCTAAACCAGAAAATGTGGGGGTTTAAAATATAAGAGACTATGCAGGTCAAAATGTCATTGTAGAGGCATGTTTGTGTGAAAAACCACCCTGCTTTGTATGCTATAGCTACAGTGTATTATTTTACTAACATCTCATACTCACTTGACCCATTTCTAAGCACCACCTCCATTACTTTTTGCATGTTGATAAGTTATTTAGATTTATTTTATAAGGTTTTCAATGCAATTCAGATTTTAAGAATGCATTCAACATTGTATTGTTCCTGCATGTACCAGCCTACACCAGCACAAATTAGTTTGTTAGTTCAGGCTGGTTGTTTATACTGGTTTGCTGCTGGTCTATCTGGTAGATCAGTATCTATAATTAAACATTATAATTCACTTTTTAGTGACTGTTGCCTCTATTCTGACCTGATTTAATGTATAAATTAATTAAAGGTAAATTAACAATTATTTAACGTAAAACTATAATTGCCTCAGCTATAAAACTGTCCAAACACATATGACTTCCACATTAAGATATCTTATCTAATAATATTGCAGACAGTCACAGCTGCTAAAGTAGGATTGGTCAATAAGGCTAAGTGATATGTCATTTGAAGTTATATATTTGTAATGTCTGGAAAGTGTAAGTAAACTGTTAAGGAATGGTAAACAAGATCAACATGTAATTAACTAATCATTCAATTTTAAAGATGATCTTTTCACACCAGTTGTGATTCTGCAATGTTGATTTGTAGGACCCCGATGCATAAGACACGCACTCAGAAAAGCACAGTAGTGAAGAATGGCCAAGCCAAACAAACCCACCTGGAACGACTGGAGGACACCCCAGATTCCCTGCGACCTGATGACATACAGCAGCAGCTGCATCAGCTGCTTCAACGCTGCTGTACCCCAGAGGTGACTGAAGAGCCTGGTGTAGGGCAAGATTCAGATGCAGGAGAACAGGACAAACAATAAGGCACCACCTCCTGCTATGAGTTGTGGTGGGCATTTAATAGAAATTTCTAAAAATGTATGTCTGTAGCCCTTTATAATAACACAAAATAATTCTTGACTTGCTTACCAGATCCCTTTTATTTATTGCTTGAACTTTTCATTCATGGCAAATAATGGAAACATTTTAACTGCATTATGGCTGAATGTCTTTTTTTGTCTGACTGAATTAATTGTCTCATTTTGTGACCAAAGATAGTGTTATCCGAATTGCTGAGTGATTTGTATGAAACGGAGATGATTTTGTGTGTGTATGTGTGTCATTTTGGTTGCTGTGGTATTGTAGAAGCAGAACTAAACATAATAATGGAAAATGAATATGGGTCAGTTTGGATGCTGAGCTCATTGTCTAGCCACTAAAGATGTGAACACATTTGTAAATAATGGACTTTGAAAATGTTTAAAAACACTGTCATATACTCTTTTGTCTCCTGTAAGTGCTGTACAACTGCATCAATGGACTGCTGTAATTAAAAACATGTCAGATTACTTGCTCAAAATCTTTCAACAGACCTGATAAAATATCACCATAATATCTTTGGGGCATGTGAGTTTGTAACCACAGTTAATCAAGAGCAAGCAATCAGCTATCTGATATAACTGGCTATGTATTTATACTGGCTATGACTGAGACTTAAAAGCAACAAATATATGTCATGCTGTAGTTTTTCTTAATCCCAGAATGCTTCTGAATGATTTTTACACAGATTACATGAGAATTTATCAGTTTTAAGTGGATGAAATTGCTTGTTTTTTCCCCCCATGTTGTCCACTGTTAAGGTATTTCATAGTGAAAGAATGCTGTCATTATCTATACGTCCAGTTATTTTGTTCGTCATTGACCTATTTGTTTTCACGAGTAACATTGTCTAATTGTCTAACCTATGTACAGAATATGTATGTGTGTGTTCTCAGATCACCTCTGTGACAATGCAACAGTTTATTCGAAACATTTTTTCTTTCTTCTTTTTGAATGAATGTTAAATTAATTTTCTGTCATTTTGTGCAGCCCCCCCCCC